GCAGACTTTATACCAAATATATCGTCTGTCCGTCCATCTGTCTGTATATACGCGAACTAGTACCACAGTTTTTAAAATATCGATCTGAAATTATGCACACGTCTTTTTTATCTCCATGAAGCTTCTCACTTGTCGTAACCGCCTATATCGGACCACTGTAGCATATAGCTGCCATACAAACTGAACGATGAAAATCAAGTTCTTGTATGGAAACTTCTTATAGAGCATTATAGCTTCACATTTTTTCTTGTTCAGTATGAAGTTTTGCCAAAATCTGACGGTATTTTGCCGGCTTTAATCTTTTCAAGTTGCGGGAGTATAATATGTTCGATTACACCCGAACTTAACTCGTTCTTACTTGTTTTTTATTTTCCTCATTTGCACACTTGCTTTCGGTCAATAGAATTATACATATATATATAATTCTACATATGCATTTTAATCTCATAACTTATAATATTTCAAAAAGCTACTTTAACCAAATAAAAAAAAATGTTATACAAACAACTTCGTTGAGCACACTCTCACTTACACTCGCACTCGTCATCGTCAACGGCGTTTCTCTTTCTGTAAATAATATTATTTATTTTTTTACATTTATGGTCACATTAATGACACTTGTATGGCCACTTGTGAGTTTTGCGTTTTGCTCGTTGTTTTCACTGCAACGTAAGCACATACATACGAGGGCAGTCCGTTAAATATGTAGCTTAAAAGAGAAAAGCGAAAAGTGAAAATTTGACAAATTGGTGATTTGTTTCAAAAAGCAGTCTCTATTTAGCTTTATATACTTGATACGTTTAGCTTTATATACGCGGTACCAAATCTGCAGAATATGGGGAATGAAGAGCAGTTCGTAGACTAATTTGAACAATTTTTCCCAAATTAGCCTCAGTTCCAGTGATTACCTCTTCATTCGAGCGAAATTTCTTGTTGGCGAGCATTTTTTTTTTTAGATCTGCGAACAAGACGTATGCGGCAGTAATTCAAAGTGTAATGCATGCATTTTTGCCATTCTTTTGATTGACTTGTGACACGGTGGGTTGCTTGATGAAATTTTTTTCTTTGCCATATGCAGTCGCCTTGTAACAATTTCAGCCTTTAAACGTTCCAATAACGCTATATAATAGTCACTATTGACGATTTTTCCCTTCTCAAGATAGTCGATGAATATTACACCTTTCACGTTTGAAGCCAGCAAACCTACGTCTTATTATTGTTTCTGATGGAGCTGTATCCCCTATAAGAATTTTCAAGCCATTGCTTCGCTTGAACGGTATTTTTTTCTTTCAGTATGAAATTGAACACGAAATTGTTTATCATCCATTGTTTTTAAAATAGCAAAAGTAGCGTCACTCTTAGCACAATAACTCGTAAGCTAATGAATAGAATGTAATGAAAGTTTAACAGCTGTCTTTTGAAGGTTAGTAATAATTGAAAATGAAGTAAAATGTGCGTCATCTTCCAGGCCAGGAACTTTTCAATTCATGTGTTACGAGACCGATTCGGCTAAGTTAACTACACTATAATCTATTTTTCTTGCAACACTGGCGCATTCTGACGGTGAGACTAAGTACATATTGGACCACCCTCGTACGTATTTATTTTTTTATAATTTTCAAACGTTTGTGACAGCAAACCAAAACGCCTAGGCTCTTAAGGCTAGAGACTCCAAGTTTGCCATTCTATAGTGTACGTATATAGGGCTTGGGCAACATTTGCATTATACTTTACCTAGTTCGCGTCCAAAGGGCTCTCACAATGAGTGCAGCAGGTGAGTAGACGTTTATTATGGTTACTAAAATTTCACAAATTATAGTTTTATTAACTACATATATAAGTGCGAGTTAGTTTTCATAAGTCTGTACTTTTTCAAACAATATAATGTTGAACGTCTGAAATATGTAGAGAGAGGAAGGATGGTATAACGGTCGCTTCTTCGATTCTTATTGTTGAATAAAAAATCGCACAGTCAAAGCAAAGAACACTTAAATTTTGTAAACAATGGAGAACACTCGAAGGTGAATACTATACCTTAGCGACCGAATGAGGAAGCTAATGCCGTTATGGGTCTTCAAACCTATTTTTCGGACAGTTTAAGTAGTTGAAGCATTACTAGCTAAAATTGAGGTAGCAATACTATTTTGAGAAACAAACCAGCATATTTCAAAATTTTGGTTTTTCTTTTGTGGGTTAAGTGCTTATCGGACGGCTACCGTATTGCATGGAACTATGAACACCGTCGAAAAGAGAGTCTGCCATAAAATCGATCTAAAAACTTTCACACATTTTAATTAACTTAAAATAAGAAAAGATGTTAATTTCGGTTATAATAGCCTACACATATACAAACTATTACTTACCAAAATTTGATTTCGATCGGTCAGTTTGTATGACAGCTATATGCTATAGACGTCCGATTTGAAGAATTTTTGAAAAAGTTTTCCATACAAGCGCTTGAAGTCGATAATTCAGGTTGTATAGCAGTGATCTTAACTAAACAATTTCTTCAGAAATTGCACTAATGCTTCAGACAATAATTTATGTCAGATGTCTTGAAGATATCTTATCAAATGAAAAAGTTTTCTAAATGAATACTTGACTCGAGCGTTCTATGGCAGCTATATGCTACAGTGATTCGATCTAAACAATTTCTTTGGAGATTATACCATTGTCTTAGAAAAATATTCTAACCAAATTTTTGGAAGATATCTCGTCAAATGACGAGTTTTATATTCGTAAATAAATATCCATGAAAGAGATGACCTATCTGGATCAGGTTATAACGGGTAATTCTATGACTAATATAAAACGGTTTATATGTGAGATGCTTAAACAAACTTGTGTAAGAATATTTCGCCTGATATTATTTATTGCTTTTAGTAGCAAAAATTATAGTTCAACTGGTTAAACATATTATATTTCTACTGCCACAGGCTTTCTAGAGGGAGTCACTCTTTCTCTAGAGGTCTCTTAATCACTAAATGGCACTCAAGTTCTTCAAAGTGAAAGCTTATTATAGAAAATATACTTATAATTTTCGTTAGTATTGTTTAAGTCGCCAACAATAATCTGCAAGCATTTCTGCGCTTCATATCCCTTTATAGCGCTTCTCCATTCAGAAAATGTCCTGATGGAACCTCTAGCCACTTGTTCGTCACTCACAGTCACCAAATTTGCTGTAAAGAAATCCAGATGAGAGTCCAGCATATGTATTTTTAAGGACCTATTTGGAACCCAAAGCTTTATATGATATATAGCTTCATTTATTTATTCTTTATTATTTTCCGATTTATGCTTTTCTAGAAAATTTTGAACAACATACCAAAACATTTCCAGGCAAGTGTTCCCTAGTCATTTAGGTTTTCTTCGAAACTTGCATCCATTATCAGTTGTCGTTTATAGCTTGGTTCACTTTTTTCAGATACTTCATCTTGCTGATTTAGAACAAGTTCCAAAGTAGAATGCTGATTTTCTGATTGATTTGGAGGCGTTGGCACAATCAGTTCGGCAAAACTGTATGGATCGTTAGAATATTTTCGTGGCATTTTTACAATGTGCAATAGTTATATAGCCGTATAAATTGAAAAGACATGTATATGAGATTAGAAATTAATATGTACATATTTAGCTGCCACTGGACGTGATTGAACCGAAATTGGTATATATTGTAAATGAGTTCGTGTGACAAAACAGACAAAATAGTGTTTACCAGTGTAATTAGAAAGCATAACTTAAAGACAACAACAAATTCTACAACGTATCTTATCAATGTGATAACAATATATTAAACAAGTAAGGAAGGGCTAAGTTCGAATGTAACCGAACATTTTATACTCTCGCAAAGTCAAATGGTATACTCGTTTGCGATTTCTTTGTGGATTAACTGATATCGGTAGAAGGTCAATTATAGGATTTGGGGTCCACTTATTCAGTACTTAGGGGCTTGAACAGTTTTGGTTCAATTTAGATAATTTTTGGTCACAAGGTGGCATACTTTAAACGTATTAGTCACGCAAAGTTTTACGCCGATATGATCATTGTTGCTTGATTTGCATACTGGAAAGTGAAAAAATCAGATGAAATTTAAAATGATGTTATATGGGAAATAGGCGTGGTTGTAATCCGATTTCGCCCATTTTCTTACCATAATATAGAAATATGAAAAGAATTTTATGTATCGAATTTTGTTGAAATCGGTTAGGCAGATCCCAAGATATGGGTTTTCACCTAAAAGTGGGCGGTACCACGCCCACTGACTAATTATGAACCCGTTCCCACGACAGTCGGGTCTACGGACCCGGATTTATTCCGGCCAAGGACTGTCAACTCGGCAGAATTCTGTCGCTACAACAACAACAACAACAACAACTAATTTTGAACGCGGTTCTTATAAAGTCATCTCATACCGAACCATCTCAGAGATAAAATTTAATGTCTTTGGCTTGTTTAGTGCTTGATCGCGCTTTTAATAGTTTTTAACAGTACCGTTATATGGGGAGTGGGCGGGGTTGTCACCCGATTTCACCCATTTTCACACCGTCGATAGAGAAGCTAAACAAATTTGTTCACAGTGAGTTTTGTTATTATAGCTTTAGTGGTATAGGAGATATGCACATTAAACTTATTAGGGAGCGGGACCACGCCCACTTTAAAAAAATATAAACTGCAGATGCTCCTCCTAAATGTGATCCTGTATACCAAATAAGAGTCTTGACGGACAGACGTACGGACGGACGGCCGGACGGACAGACGGACAGACAGTCACCCGGATTTCAACTCGTCTCTTCAGCCTGATCATTTATATATATATAACCCTATATCTAACTCGATTAGTTTTAGGTGATACAAACAACCGTTATGTGAACAAAACTATTATACTCAACTATTATAGCAACAGGTTGCGAGAGTATAAAAATACGAACCAAAGTGCAATGGAAGAAAACAGATAACACTGATATTTTCGTATAAATAGTAACTCAGTGGAGCCACATCTCATTAGTATACATGATGCAGAGCATGCGTAGCTCATTTCGGTAAAAAAAATTTAAGTGTGAAAATTAAGAACTAAAATTTTAAATTTTTAAAATAATATTTACAAACGTTGAAACGAAAACTGCAAAAAAATATAAACAAACAAGAAAGTAGTGTTAACAGTACTCCAACGTGGAAAATAAGTGTTTCAAGATGGATTTTTACTTCATTATTTTCTCCACAATCTTTGCGCTCCTGATCAGCTATCTACGCTACAAATATCAATATTGGGAGCTACTTGGTGTACCTCAGCTGAAGATGAACTACTTTTTTGGAAACCTGTTCCGCATAAAAACTATGCATAAAACGGAAATTTTACACGAAGTTTATAAAGAGTTTCGTGGTAAAGCAAAATTAGTCGGCACATACGTTTTTACCAAACCTATAGCCATTGCACTGGACTTAGACTTGGTGAAGTCGATATTAATCAAAGATTTCAATAAATTCACCGATCGTTTAGAGCAACGTAAGAGCACTACAAGCTATATCACTCAGCATTTATTTCGTGTGGATGGCGAAAAGTGGCGTCCATTGCGCACGAAGCTTACACCGACCTTCACATCGGCGAAAATGAAGTTTATGTTTCCGACGCTAGTGAACGTAGCGCATCAAATGGAAGAGGCTATCAACGCGCACTTAACTAAAACGCCGAGCGGTGACATAGACACACACGATTGGATGGGGCGCTTTACGACTGATGTGATTGGTCACTGTGCCTTCGGTGTTGAGTGCAATAGTTTGAAGGATCCGAATGTGGTATTTCGTCGCATGGGACATCGCATTTTTTATCCAAAATATTTCTCCGTACGTCTACGTACATTTATGCTTATATATCCCGCTATTTTCAAATATCTGAAATTTTTCAATATCAAAGAACATTCAAAAGACGTAGAAGATTTTACATTGCAGCTGGTGCGTGATACGCTGCGTTTGCGCGAAGAACAAAACGTACAGCGTAATGACTTCATTGATTTGTTAATTGAGTTGAAAAATTCCAAAGATATGAAAGGCGTGCCTAAAATGGGCGTTGAGGAGATGGCTGCACAAGTGCATATCTTTTTTGCTGCGGGCTATGAGACCAGCTCTAGTAACTTGAGTTACGGGCTATATGAATTAGCGAAGAATCCCCACATACAGGATAAGCTGAGAGCCGAAATCATTAGTGTTTTGAAGAAACATAATGGCGAATTGACCTATGAAGCTATGATGGAGATGACATATTTGGATCAATTAATAACGGGTAAGATGTTGATTTGAAATATTTCCTATGAAATTACAGTGTTTCGAACACATCTTTTTCGCACACCTCATTTAACCAATACATTTTTCCAAAGAAAGCTATAAAGCGAACTAAGCATATCGCTATCATGTATCATAAATATTTAAACTTACTTATTATTTGATTAAAGAAAACTTCTTAGTAATATTAAAAAAAAAAACCTCATGTACATTTCGCTTATAGAGACTCTACGGATGTATCCAGCACTCGGTGGTCTTACTCGTGTCTCCGTTGACGACTACAAAGTACCTGATACGGATATCACACTTAAAAAGGGCACACGCGTTTACATACCCGCTAAAGAGATACATTATGATCCGGATATCTATGATAATCCTAAAGAGTTTCGCCCGGAGCGCTTCCATCCGGATGAAGTACAAAAGCGTCACCCTCAGGCCTTTCTCGGTTTTGGTGATGGGCCGCGTAATTGTATTGGGCTCCGCTTTGGACGTATGCAAGTGCGTGTTGGGTTTATCACTTTGCTCAAATCTTATCGCTTCAGCTTATCGGAGAAGACACCAAAAGAGCTAGAGATTTCTAAATATAGTATAGTGCTTGTACCGCATAGTAAAATTTGGCTGAAGGCAGAAAAATTATAGTGATAAAAATTGTGTTACTGCACAATGATTTTTATTTTAAGTTCAACGAAATAAAGCATATTGATGCTAAAGTATAATTAAAAAGCTTCAATAAGTGGTGCTTATACAAATTTCTGTACAAGAGAGTGGATTTATTTATTTTATATCAAACGCATTACTGTCAGTCATAAATTTTTTTTGAAACGGCTTTTCAAGTAATAATCCATGCCAAATTTCGTGAAGATACCTCGTCAAATCAAAGAGTTTTCCATACAAGCACTTGATTCCAATCGTTCAGTTTGTATGGCAGCCATATGTTATAGTGGTTCGATATCGGACAAATGAGCAGCTTCTTAGTGAGAAAAGGATAGGTGCCAAATTTCAGATCGATAGCTTAAAAACTGAGGGACTAGTTTGTATATATACAGTCAGACGAACGAACAGACAGTCGGACATGTCTAAATCAACTCAGCTCATCATGCTGATAATTTATGTATATATTTTATAGGGTCTCCGACGTTTCTTTCTGGACCTGTTCAGGGTATAAAGAAGACAAAATGGACAAATAAAACAGGTTTTTATTCATTTGAAGTAGCTAATTACGGTACTTTGTTCATCATAATTATACTCGTACGTAACAAAAAAATTATTATATACGGTATTCAAAACCCGTGTAACTGGCATATGAATGAAAGTATGCTATTTTTTGTTCAATTATTTAAAAAGCGAGCACGAGCATGTCTCTTATCATTTCCTTGTCTTGGCATATCCCAATTTATGTATGACAAATGCAGCCAAGCCATATGCAACACATAAAAACACTAGAAAAAACGTTAACTTTGGTTGCACCGAACCATTAATACCTTACACAAATAAAAAAGTTGCTACGCAAGAACTTGATTTTGATTGGCCAGTTTTTATGGCAGCTATATAGTGCTCCGATATCAATGGTTCCGAAAAATGAGCAGCTTCTTGGGGAGTGAAAGACGTGAAAAAAACTTCGGAACGATATTTCTAAAAATTAAAGTCTAGTTGGCAAGTTATACAAGTACAGGCAGACAGACGTACATGGCTGAAATTATACAGTTCGTCATATTTATTATTTACATAAATAGATAGATATATAGATTAGAATAGAGGTATGCACCACGGGCCCTCCCCTAAGTCACAATGACTCACGTAGCCCCAGCATATTGATGAACTCCAATATACTGCTAGGTGCTAGTGAGGCGATGAACCTATAGTTCAGGAGGAAGCTCTCCTTCCGGACGAATGTGTACAATTCGTCGTCTATGCAGAGGTTGAGCCTCCACCCGGAATCCTGGACCTTGCTATTTATTACTTGCCAGACCGATGTACTAACCGATCTCCGTCAGCCAGCTGGCAGCCCTCTATCCTTGCAGTCCATCTGCAGCATGCCTTCTTTGAAATAGACTTCATGAAAGTAGGCTGCATATCCCAATCCTCTGAATACCTCCTCCATGAGTAGGCCTTAGAGCACGGTAGGCTCCTCCTCTCCCTCTTTAACTCTTCATTGGCTAAGCGTAATGCTTACCTTTCATCTATTTGAGTTTTCTCTCCTTTCTTGTAAACATAAAAATCACCACTTCCACTCTATCATCGATATGGCGTAATTTTTCTACAATATATGCAATGGAAATTATATCAAATTTATCTCTTAACCAGGAGTAGTTTTATCCCTGCTCTTATAGACTTTTGAAATTAATAAGCTGTTAAAGAACTTGGACTGCAAAGCCCCTAAGATAGTGGCAAATGCAGACGACATTGCAATCTTTATAACGGGAAGATGTTTACACACCATTAGCAGTAATAAGACCACTACATTCAATACAGTCCAGAATTGGGCATGGCAAGCATATATGAGGTTGACAACAAAAAACAAATGTGATTTGCCATGGAGGTTCCCTACGACAAATGGGACCGTTCCAAATACCTTGGAGTAGTCTTGGACATCAAACTGCTGTCGAAGCACAATGTGGAAGAAAGACTAAGAAATGCCTTATGCGCGAGTAGGCAGATGCCTTTCTCCATCTCTCATGCACTGGTACTCACAGTGTGGTAGACAGGCATACGGAAATCGACTTACCGGAAGCCAATGGAAATGGTTTAGGTTCAGCAAGCATCGACTACTTGACTCCACTTTTCAATTGGGAAAAAGGTTCATAGTATGGTAAATATAGAAAAAGATTATTGGCGTAAAGACTTGTTAGCGGCGTGCAACACATTAAACATTTAAACGGATGCCTCAAAAATGAAGGACGTAGTTGGTGCGGGGATATACTTTCTAAAGTATGGCATAAGGCAGAAGCACATATATTTTAAACAGAGGTCTTTGATATTGGGAAAGCCACGGAGCTAGCATTTAATGCATCAACAGACAACTCCGGAGTTAACGTCTACGTGGACAGCCAAGCAACAATCAAGGCTTTGACCTCGTTTTGCATATCCGTCAGAGGTATCTTGAAAATCAGAGCAGTAAAGAACAGTGTCGCCAGAACCAAGCGACTTCAATTATACTGGGTACCAGGTGACAAAGACATCGTTGGCAATAAGATAGTGCGAATTGGACACGAGCATGGCAAATAAAATCAAAACGCGGTGGAATTGTCTACCTGGGTGCAAAACTGCAAATGTTATGTATAAAACGATAGATCGGAAATCTGCAAAATTCCTACTGGTACTCAAGAGAAGAGACTGTAGGAAAATGATTGGAGTACTCACTGGACACAGTTTGGTGGCGGCACACGGCTGTAGACTGACAGATCGAGAAGATCACAGGAAATGTCAAGGGCAAGACACCAGGACCACACATAATGGAGCATCTCTTGTACAATTGTCCCGCCTTGACAAGGCTACGCTTCGCTACGCATTTGGGGTCTCCACGGTATTATACCCTGAAAGAGTTATCGTTAGTGAGGCCGCAATGTCTATTGAAATTCGCGTCAAGCGCAGTCATTCTCCATTGACTACTCCTCATGAACTTCGTAACAGAACTCCATCTGGTATCCAAGGGACCTAAACTGCTTTATGTGTGACTCATTAGCCTACCAGACTAACCAAACCTACCTTAACTAGTAGAAGAAGTTACCCTCATATACTTTTTATTTTCGTCCAAACTACAAGTTAAATATTTTCAAAACAACAATACGCAAATATTTAGATTTGAAATTTTATTGATGTACTAATATTTGGCTTGCGTTTTAATCACTGTTTAAGTTTTATATACATGTTCACTCAAAAGCAATTTTAATAACCCCCCCATGTACATGCATTATTAGGTCTGCACAGACCTGTTTTTGACGCTTGAATTAAAAATTTTATGAACCCAGATTAACCCAAACCCGTACATATTATCGGTCTGATATGTTGTTCGTTGCTGTGTGTTGCAAATTTTGCTACTGAAAATCATGGAAGGATTTATCTCTAATAGGGAAAACCAAAAAATTATGGTTTTATGTGCAAAAAGTCTGTTCAAACTTGACTGTACATCCTTCATTTGTGATTTGATAGATACAATCACTCCATTTCGCATACCTGGACCTCCATAGAACCAATGTAATGATTTCTATTCCTCTGGTTGACTTTTTGGTATATCATAATATAAATGCATTGATAAGTGAGCTGTCTTAAAAACTTTGCAGAGACTATTTTGCTTAATATTATATTATATATTGGGATTTGGTAGCAAACATTTAGATTCTTCGAGTAAAACTTCTAAGATTTCTACTGCCAAAGGTTTAATAGAAGAAGTCAGCTTTTCTAAAGGTCTCCCAATCCCCAAATGTTACTCAGGTTCCTCGAATCTGACCGAAAAAATCCGAAATGGTAGCTTTAGTCATATTTACAAATACATGTACGAGTATACTACGAAACTTAGAAACCATATACCTCTTCTGGCAACTCAACTCGATTCTTGCATAACTCTCTACTGTTAAAATAATCACTCAAAACTAATGATTACTAATTCCTTGCAACTAATTTGCTCTCACATAACCAACTTTTAATTCTCTTAATTAATTTACTTCCAAAGCTTTGCGTGCTTTTGACCAATGCTTTCATTAATGCACCTTTCACTACACCTACAGTACGTAGTTTCAACATTTTACTAAACCAGCCTAATACTGAACATATTATCATATGACAGAGCTAATAAAATATGATAACTTTAATACAACAAAAAATGCTACAACGTATCTTATCAATGTAATAAGTAATACACTGTACATGATATTAAGCAAATAAAAGTCAAGTGCAATGCAAAGATACAGGTGACACTAATTTTGTCATATAAATAGTAACTGAGTGGACCCACGCCACAGTAGTAGTGCAGAGTAATCGTTACGATTCTTCGGTAATTAAGAAATTTGGTGTGAAAACTAAGCACTGAAATACTAAATCGCTGAGAAAAAATTTCACAGCAATTAGGACAAAAATTGCAGAGAAATATTATTAAATAAGAAAGTAGTCTTAAAAATATCCAACCCGGAAAACAAGTGTTTTAAGATGGATTTTTACTTCATTATTTTCTCCACAATCTTTGCGCTCCTGATCAGCTATCTACGCTACAAATATCAATATTGGGAGCTACTTGGTGTAACACAGCTGAAGATGAACTATTTTCTTGGAAACCTGTTCCGCATAAAATCTATGCATAAAACGGAAATTTTACACGAAGTTTATAAAGAGTTTCGTGGTAAAGCAAAATTAGTCGGCACATACGTTTTTACCAAACCTATAGCCATTGCACTGGACTTAGACTTGGTGAAGTCGATATTAATCAAGGATTTCAATAAATTCACCGATCGCTTCGAACAACATAAGAGCACTGTCAATGTTCTCGAATGGTGATGTAGAATTACACGATTAGCTGGCTCGCTTAACAACTGTATAACTTCATGAATACGAGCGAAAATAAATTGGCTTTTTTCGCCAGATATCGGTTATTCGTAGTACGCAAGCAAAGCAAAACAAGCCAATGTTGATACGCCGTTAAGTTTTCAAAAAGTCAATGTTTCATGTGCCCTATAAGCAGAGGGATTCATTGGTCCATATTTCTTAAAAATGAAGCAGGCCATAATGTTGAAGTCAATGGGAAACGCTATAGAGATATAATTAATGACATTTTCGTGCCTGAATTGGAGCATGTTGAAGTGCATGATATTTGGTTTCAACAAGACGCCGGTACATACCATAGAGCCCACGAAACAATCACTTTGTTTAAGAAAGCAATTGCTGCAAAAAGTGGTGGAAATTGGGCCCATAATTCAAACATGTTTTAGTAATTGCCCTGGTCCCCACTATTGTAAGTCCCAAAAATAATACAACTTTGTGTATGTAGAATAAAATCCACAATATATTATTTTTGTAAGTTTTATACAATATATTTCAAATAGGTTCCATTAGACTCAACACAACGAGATCTGGGACTAGAAATTAGACACATGGTAATACATTAGGCGAATACGGAGGATGGTTTGTTAACGAGGGAAATTCGTTTTCTCATCAAAAACACGTTCACTTGTTTGCTCTTTATTTAATTCATGGGAACTTTTCTTTTACCCAAGACTTCTGTTGAAATTCTTCAAATATCGTGTTAACTTTTAATTAATTTCTTAGCCAATATTCTCGTAGTAACTTTTTATCGATAATAATAATTTCACGGACTTATTATTGTATATCAATTCAGCCCGATTATATACAATTCGTATGTCTTATTGGTTTTTTTTTTGCCAAGTTTAACACAAAACAAATGTTGCATAATATTTCTGCTGCTCCCAACAGGAGTTAACCGCCATACAAAGTGACTAACCACTCCACTGACTCATAAGGATATATTGATAAAGTCAAAGTAGTAAATAATGTACCTATAATACTGGAGTTGAACTGGTCGTTGGAGAAACATTCACAGGTAGACTAGAAGGAACTTAATAACTTAATGAACAAAAACAAGAACTTTTGGGGGAAAAAATAAGTAAACATACTAGTTTTTACGAACGGTAAGATAAGATAGCAACCTTGAGAGTCTAGTTAGAGTGAACTGCGTTGTCGCTCACCTTACAAAATAAAGAGTTCTATATTATTTACCTGACAATAATAAATTTTTTTTTAAATACCAGTCAGCTACACAAATAAAAGAAAGAAATAAGGACTTAATCCGAATGTAACCAAACATTTTATGCTCTCGCAATTTGTAGGCCCGTCTTGCAGACTTTTCGTGACCGTGTGAGTAAAACGCATGTATGTTTTCTTTCCGTTCCTTTGGCGATCCTGCATGCACTTAAGAGATTTCATCTCACCCTGATCGGTCGGTCATCGCTTTCGGAAATTTCTTTGTGTATCTTGCGTATTTTCTTTACTGGTTCGGTAGCCAAGTGGATGGCACTTTTGGCAAACGGCTAATACATTACCGGAAGATAGCCGCTCTCCCTCAGCACAATATCTACTGTCGCCCTACTTCTATTATTATAAACTTTCTAGTGGAGACGTTGGAGTGTATCACACGTGTAAAAAGGTTCATCAATATATTCGTATTTATTATTTCGTATTTATTCTTACAAACAACCGTTACAGTTGAAAAAACTAGTATACTTTGTTGCTATATGAGTAACAGCTAGATGCGCACTAAACTAAAAGTAAACAATTATAAAGATAACACTAATGAGTGGTAGATAATCCATGGTGATTTCTCGATATTCATAAGCAGCTATGTAGATAACTATTTGCTTCTAAGTGCAACGACGTAATAAAAAAGGTATAAGATTCTAAGATTCTAAGTCAGCCGATAATTATTAGTCAAACGCTAACTAACGCGGAACTTACAACAACGAACTTGTTGACATAGGTTCACTAAACATATAGGGAATGGCTAAAAACGTGCACTGAAAACTGAATAATTCGTTTAGCTGCGAGCCAAAATTTTACACACAAGATGGTTTCCTCTTTTGTAATTTTCTGCACGTTTTGCTTGCTACTGGTCAGCTCTGGTAACTTGAGTTGTGGGCTATAGGAATTGGCGAAGGCTCCCCACGTGCTGGAGAAGGGGAGGTCGGAAATTAAAAGCGTTCTTGAAAAACATAATGTCGAATTGACCTATGAGGCTTTGATGGAGATGACATATTTGGATCAAATTATAACAGGTAAATTGGTCACACAAAATATTTTATATTCATTATAAACATGTTTTTCAATAGAAAGACTTCGTAACAACTAAAAATCGCGCTTTGTTTTTAAATATTTACATTGTATTATTGTTTAATTACTATAACAAACTTTTGTAACTATATACTCATAATGTTTTATTTTGCTTTCAGAAACAGTCCGCAAACATCCAGCGCTCGCTGCTATCACTCGTATCTCCACTGATGAGTACAAGGGTACTCGAGAAGGGCACACTTATCTATATACCCTCAAGAGAAATACATTATGATCCAGATATCTATTATAATCTCGAAGAATTCAGCCCGGAGCGCTTTCACTCAGATGAAGAGCAAAAGCGTCACCATCAGGCCTTTCTCGGTTTAGGTTTTGGACTTCGTAATTGTATTGGCCTCCGCTTTGCTCGAATGCAAGTCCGTGTCGGACTAATAACTTTGCTAATATCTTATCGCTTTAGCGACACCAGCACTTATAGAGTCTTATAAATTAACTTCAGTAGTTGTGTCAGGTTTCAAGATTTGGCTGGTTTCAAGATTTGGTTGAGGATACAACCTTTGCTGCTACATAATTATTTTAATTCTAAGGTCGATGAAATAGAACATGATTGCTGCTAAACTACAAATTAGATATTTTAATAAATAGTACTTATAAATTTTTTGGTCGAGCAAGTAGAATTATATACATATATTTATATATATAAAATATTTTTTATATAGATTAAGTGGCTCTCCAGCTCATAAGTGCCCAAACCCTTGAACTTTAGACGAGCTCCCGATAAACATAGCTGCATGAAAAAAATTGTGTTGTTTTTTTCGATATATCGGTTAGTTAGATAAGATTTAGATAATAGAAGATCAGATACAATAAAATAACTGACAGTGGTGAGATAAGACTACCATATTAGTAATTATAATTTGTTCTCCATTTTTATGAAACTGAATTTTGTTCAGGCCACACTCAACACACTCTGTAGACGTCAGTATTTAAGATAAGCGATAAGAAGCTGCTAAAACTAAAACTCAATTTTAGTGAAACATCTAGATTTTGGAGCAACTGGAATTAAGTGAAATGCTTCAGATTTTTTGGAAAAATATCTAGATTTTTGAATCTATTCTATTTCCGCTATTTCACTTGCATGAGTTTCGGCGTATTTTGACTTTGATCTGGCAAAAGCGCGACATTCGAGGAGGAAAAGTTGAGATGATTTTATCTCATCTTTTTTCAAACAGCTAATGCAATGGGCTTCCGGTCAAATGTTTAATTTTACTGCATGACTCCTACAATCGTTGAAAGGTAGACTTTGCTGAGAGCGAAGATCTCTTAGGATTTACCAGGAGAACCTTGCGACTGTAGTAGTTAATTAACGCATGCTGAGCTGATCTGAGGCCCAACAGTCAGTAGCGAACCACAAGAAGGCAATGGAGCTCCTAACCGTTCTCATTCCGCAGTTATTTCGACTGAAATATTTTCCTAGAAAACTCATCAGACTTAAAATTTTCGACAATACCCCTGTGACCTGGCACCCAACCCTGTCTAATCGTGTAGTAACTCGATGCTAGATATAAAGAGTTTAGACAGACCATTCACTAGTCTTGTGCGTACAATCAGCTAGCTCAAGGCAAATACCCCTGTCGTACCATCTCTGTCCTCCGAAGCAATCGGATGATCTACTGCTACCTTTATAGCTTGGAGGACACTGCAGTGGTTAGGAAGCCTAAAGTTGAAGCTGATGGATAGTTCCAGGGAGTGTACTCAACCAGCAACCCTCCCCAAGCTATGTGATTGTTCAGGTTCGCAGTCATCAAAGTATCCAAATTCTCTAAATCTGAGAGCAGCAATGTAGTATTTTCCAGCGCCTTCCACCATATAAAAATTCCTTATCACATTATAGGTTTGACTATAGTTTTATAAAGCCAAAGAACTACTCTTGGTGAGAGTCCCCACCTTTTAACAATGGTACCACTGCAGTAGTACAGGGCAACCGATACCTTCCTTGATCTTTCTCGAAGTTGGGTTTTTATGAGGACTTCCTGTCTAGGTTGAACGCGGTTTTAGGATTGGCAAGAGAACTGCCCATTGTGGGGTGCTCCTACTCACATTTCGTTGTGCCCGCGCACTAACCATGTCCGCCTCGATAGCTCTATCGTAAAGAAGTTTAAAGCTGAGATGCTAAAGGTTCGATTTAACTCCAAACTTATTCAATGCTGTAATGACCGTTGTGACGGTAACATTGTGTACTTGTGCGATAAATTAATAAAATTCCACTGCTCACATGTACCGAAAACGAATGTTAAAACTTCCGCTGTGTTTCATACTGTATATATCAAGCAATATATAAGCTATCTTAGCAAGATTAAGTGAAAATGTATGAAATCGGTCCACTCTGTGTGCGTTATCTTCATAAAATGTTTCGCAACATGTTGCTAGTTGTGCTAACTTTGCGGTTGTTTGTAACACCTAAAACTAAAGTATTGTAGATAGATATAGAGCTATACATACATATCTTAATGATCAGGGTGACCAGAAGAGTTGATTTCAGGCTGACTTACTATCCGCTCGTTCGACAATGTGAAAGTGGGCGAACACGGCTTCATTTCTCAAGAAGTACCGACCATTGATTCCACCAGACCGAAAACCACACCAAACGGTCAATTTAGGTGAATGTAATAGTAGATCATGAATAATTTGTGGATTTTCTTCGCACCAGAATCGACAGTTTTGTTTATTTAGCGCAACATTCAGATGAAAGTGAGCTCAATCGGAGAAGATGATTTTCTTAAAAAAAATCATTATCGTTTTCAAGTTGTTCCAAGGCCAAATCAGTAAATTCACGACGTTCACCGGCCGAAAGGATATCTAGAAATTATATCATCGCTTTCGGAAAACCCGATATATCATAACAGAAATAAAGATATCGGAATATATATTTGCATAGCTAGATCCTTAAACTGTTAACGCATCATTTTTAGAAATTATAGAAATGGCTGTATAACCTTTTAAGCCCCCAGACACTGAATATGAAGACTTCAGTATCTAAGTCTGGCCATTCTACTGACCTTTCTTAAGACCCTTAACCTAACCTTTTTACCGAAAATATCACTCAATATGGAAAATATTTTAATGAGATTCAGACGATTTACTTCCAGAGTTCGTTTGTGTTACAAATAGATAAAATCTGTTTAGTAAATCCCCTAGCCTAGCCTGGCACTTCTGCTGTTCTCTCAAATCGAGATATTGATACAATCGAAATAATGGATACGCATCTAATCAAACACGATATAAACTTTCGGAGACGTAGTAATTGTGCGATACTGGGTAAATGTAAATGAATAGTGAAACGCATTTATTAAAGTTAGATATCTGTAATACTCGACAATGTCCATTAAAAAAGTCGCCTTAATTACTTAGTAATTAAAGCAAACAACAATGTAAAAAATTAAGTAAACAAATTCAAATGCCTTAAATTTTATTTTTGTTTTAATTTTATGAGCTTCACACCATATAAAAAATAAGTTATTACTACTTGCCTGACTCCTATCAATCTTTCTAAACTACAAGTCAGCTACATAAATAAACGAGGGAAAGAGAGTCTAAATTCGGATGTAACCAAACATTTTATACTCTTGCAATTTGCAAGAATCAAAAGCGGTGAAATACTTTCAGATGTTGACAAAACTTTATATTAAAGAATGTTGTATAAGAATTAAAAATTCGTTACTCGACGGAGTCGTGAAGGGTATGATAATGGATATCATTAAGATTAACTCTAATACATACTCGCTTTGTTTCAGTAAAACATGTGGCTTCGCACCCAAGATAATTATTGTGTGAATCAACCTAAATGACTCAAACGAGATACTTTTAAACTTAACCATAAACGCTAAGGTTCATAAACGCTAATCATTACATTAGGAAATAAAATTTAGACCAAAGCCCAGACCTTGCCATAGATAAACGGTTTAAAGTCAAATGGAAAGTCGGAAATCGTTTTAATCGGTATATTGTTGGTAGGCTAAGGTCTGAACATATTGCATTTACTTTGGCTTTAAACTCAAATATACTAGCGACTGATTTCCATCTTATTTTTTAACAATAATCATTAGTTACAGTAATATATCCAATAAGGTATATCGAAGCACTTTATCAGAGAGATCTACATTTTCTGTAACTGGAGGCTTGAAAAGTTATGATCCGATTTCAACCAGTTTTGTGAACAAACTTAGTATACTCTGTTGCTGCATGTTGCTAGAGTATAAAAATATTTAATCAAGTAACAGCAAGATGCGCACTAAACTAAAAGTAAATAATTATAAAGATAACACTACTGAGTAGTAGATAATCCATGGTGATTTATCGATACATTTTTATAATAAACCATATAGATGTCTATTCGCATCTATGGTATATATAAGGGCATTTTGGGCTATTAGAGATAAAACGGGCGATAGTCTTTAAACAAGCGCCAACTACGACTAGCTGACATACATCAAATATATAGTGAATGGCTAAGAACGAACACTGAAAGTTTAATAATTCATTAAGCTGCAAGCTCAAAAATTTTGACACACACGCAAGATGTTCATGTCTTTTGTTTTTTTTCCACGCTTTGCTTGCTGCTGAATCAGTTCCTACGCTACAAGTTTCAATATTGGAAGAGCTTGGAGTTTGCCAGAGCCAACAACTTACTACCTTGGAAACTTCCGTCTCATTAAATCATGCATAAAACGGAATTATTTACGCGAATACTACAAGTTTCGCAGGTTTAGCCAAAATGATCGCACATACTTTTTCACAAACCCTATATCAATCTGTGTTGGACTTAGATTTTGGTAATAAAAAACCATTACTAATCAAGATTTTTAACAAATTTACGGATCGATTTCAACGACGTAAAGACCGATAGCACGTGTTCGGACATTCTAATGAGACGCCTCTTTTCGCTGTGAAATGGGCGACAGCTGGCGTTCCACTGCCGTACGAAACTTCACCGACCTTTACATGGGCGGAATTGAAGTTTATGTTCGACGCTGGTGAACGTGGGCGCATTCAAATGGAAGAGGCTATCACGCGCGCACTTTAGCTAAGACGCGAGCGGGCGGTGACATAGACACACACGATTGGATGGGGCGCTTTACGAACTGATGTGATTTGGTCATTGTTGCCTTCGGTGTTGAGTGTAATAGTTTGAAGGATCCAAATGTATATTTCGTTCGCATAGGGCATCGCATTTTTTATCAAAATATTCTATCCCATCGACTGGGCACGTACTTTTATGATTTCGTTTTCCCGTCATCTTCAAATATCTGAATTTTTCAATTTTCATGAATATTGGTTGGAGGTCTAGAAGAATTCGTATTGAGCTGGTTTGGCGTGATACATTTGGCGTTTGCGCGAAGAACAAAACGTACAGCGTAATGACTTCTCTTGATTTGTTAATTTGAGATGAAAAATTCCAAAGATATGAAAGGTGCTGCCCCCAATGGTATGAAGAAATGGCTTCACAAGTAGTTTGTATTTTTGCTGCGGGCTTGAGACCAGCTCTAGTTAACTTGAGTTATGGGCTTATTTGAATTGGCGAAGAAATCCCCACCGTGCAGGAGAAGTTGAGAGCGGAAAATTAAAAAGCGTTCTTGAGAAAACATTAATGGCGAATTTGACCTATGGTCTATGTTTGAGATGACATATTTGGATCAAGTTATAACAGGTAAGCCGACTCTTCAACTGTTTGATTGAATATATATACTTTATAAGATCTCTGACATTTCCTTTCGGGTGTTACAACAGTCGTGGCAAACTTAATATACACAGTTCGGCGATACAAAAATATCGCTATG